TTTGTATGTCATAGCCAATACAAACCCATAGGGGGATGCCAATCCAAACACAGTAACTTTATATTCAACATTAAAAACCCAACATAGTCAGTTTTACTTCAGCTACACATCATAATAACTGATGATGGTGATACTGTCCTTCCTGTCTGCAGATTTCCAGGACGGGGAGACAGACAACCGTCAAGTTTCCTCTGGTTCCTTCTTTGCTTTCTGTTACTGAAGATGAAAAAATACTGATAGCAGGTCTGACTCTCTTATTGATTTACGTAACTTGTGAAATAAGTCAGTGTTTCTTCAGCTATAACTAGCTGCAGCAAATACAAACAGTGCTTGGGTAGTTTGTTTCATCTGTATTAATGAGAAATTATACAGTATTTTAGAATATGATTTTAGAAAAACTTCCAGGCTTTCTTCATGTTATCCTCCATGTTCCTGGCCTCTTATGTGCATGTAATCATAGTGTGAAAGAAAGGTTAATGTGTTCCAGCTGATCTCTGCTTATGTCCTCTGCAGGAAGTGAGCGGACTCTGAGCCTCTTTAACATCGACAGAGACTCTGTGGTCGGATTCCTCGACCTCCAACACGACGACAGCGTTTTGTCCAGCTGTGTGTCTTCAGACTGCCGACTGCTCGTCTCCGGAGCTGCTGACCAACTCATACGAGTAACAGGCTAAGATACAGTAGATGTCGATGGTAGAGTAGATGGTACATGTGATGTGCTAGCTACTGCTTCACAATAAAATGCTGATCCAACAACTTCACAGTTAAAGCCATCTAGCTGCTTCACAATTGAAGTAAAGGCTGTATGTTGCTTCATAGTAAAAGCCCCACAGTTCAAAATCATCCAGCTATTTCACAGTTAAAACCCTTTACCTGCAAAAACCCTGCAGCTGCTTTACAGTGACCGAAATACTGACTTCATACAATTGCTTTATGAACCTTACTGCAAACTACAGTTTGAAAACGTAAGTGAGTCAACAGCTCCGGCTGTCACATAGGCAGTATTTATGTGTCCCTTATATTCTGTATGAACTTTTTATTCTCAGATCTGGTCGGTGACCACGGGAGCGTTGTTGGACACTCTGTGTGGTTCAGACTCTCCCGTCACTTCTGTTGTGCTGTATCACGGCTTCGTGGTATCGGCCTCGACGGCTGCTGCCAGCGTCCATCTGTGGAGTCTGAAGTACGACACCCGCCACAAGCCCACCGCCCGCATTCCTGCAGGCTGCGCCCATGTTGCCGTCACTACAGACGCAGACCTCGTTTTCTACGTCCGGCAGCAGAGCCAGACAGAGCTCATCAGCTGGAACAACAGCACAGGTCACTTCTGGTGCAAAGACAAAGAGATGCACTTGTTTGTTGTTTTGCCAATACACATTGACCTCCATTAGCTTGGCCAGTATGGTAATCATGTTCAAGTTTATAAAAGCACCTTCAGCAGGTGGAGACTCCTAAACCTCCTCTTGGATCTCCCTGCAGGTTCTCTATCAGAGCGTTTGGCGGTCTCTGCTGAGGTTTGCTGTCTGGAGTTAGCTCAACACAAACGGCTGCTGCTCTGCGGCCTGACCACCGGCACCGTCCTCATCTACCCGTTAGCCCTGCCCCAGGAGACGCTCTGTATCCCCCCTCCAGAGAGCCTCTCCAGGGTGCTCTGCCTGGCCGTCAGCTCCCAAGAGAAACACATGGTGGTGGCCTACGAGGACTCCGTTTGTTTGTTCGAGATCACCGCCAGAGACAGCTTCCCCACGGTGGAGGGACCCCTGGAGGGGTTCCCTCTGTCCCTCCTCCACGCCCCTCTGTCCTCCATGGCCCTGCTGTCCGACCGCAGGCTGCTGTACGGGACGAGCTGCGGGGAGGTGAAGTTCCACGACTTCCGTGACAGCAGCAGCTCCGATCTGGAGCCTCACTGCAGCAGAGTCACCTGCGTAACGGTCAGTAACTGGGAGACCCACGCCCTGGTGGGCTCTGAGGACGCCATCCAGAGGCTATGGAGGCTGAGCCCACTGGTCCTGGACCACACCATGGAGTACAAGGTCACAGCTACTGTACATCTGCACTATTCCCCACTAACACTTTACATATGTGCATGACATTTCCAGTGGTGGAAGAAGGGCTCAGTACTTTTACTTATACAACAGGGTAGAAATACTCAGGTACATGTAAATGCCCTGCTTTCAAACTTAATTAAAAGCACGTTAGGATAAAAAAAGTGATGGCATCAAATATACTTAAAGTACCGAAAGTGAAAGTGCTCACTTTGCAGAATGGCCCTGAAAAATTGGTGTATATACAAATATATGTATATATATACTGTATATATATAACACTCCTGACCAAAAACAAAAATGGTCATGACACAAAAAATAATGAATCAATGATTAATGTTTTGTATTTATTAACTAATTACTGTCAAATAAATGTAGTGACATAGTAGCATAAAATGGAAATACTAAATAAATAAAAGTAACAAAAAGTATCAAAATTGTATTTAAGTACAGCACTTGAATATTTAATTACATTCCACCACTGGTTATTTTAAATGTATACCATCAGATCCAAAAATAACTTTTTACTCTCCAGCCAACAAAGGAGACATAAACCAAAAATATGCAAACTTGTATTTTACTGATGAAATGATTCTAACATAATACTTCAATTCCCCCTATTTATCATTTATACACAGTAATGTTCATATTACTGTGTATGAATGATAAATAGGGGATATGTATAATTATGTAGTTATAAGGCCATTTTAAGTGTTTATTCACTCACTGTTTATCAGTATTTGTAAATAACTATAACTACTTTTATGATTTGTAACTTCTCCAATGAATACACGTTATATATTAACTGTTACATTACGTTGTCATTCATTATCTGTTTCCATATCAGTGTGTTAAAGATACTTCACAGAGGAAGTTATAGTTGTTTACAAATTTTGTACAACAACAGTTATAATTTATAAATACTTACCTTAAAATGAAGTGTTCATAATGTTATCATGATACACAAAATCACATTGTCCCAATGTTGCTGTTCAGGGGTTTTTCTTCGAAGGCGTCCTCTGTGCTGCTTTCTCTGACAGCGACCAGTTCGTCTTCACTGGATCTCAGGACAGAACTGTCAAAGTGTGGGACGTCGCTACAGGTACTATGTACAATATAAATATATATCCTAAAGTATATATATATGAACATAACCCTATACAATAATACAACAACACTGTCAATGGAATTAAGGTGATAGTACAGAATGGAGGTAATATTGCAGCATGACTGATTCATTGTTCATCAGTGTGACTATCAGGCGAGTACTGAGAATGAAGAGGCCCTGTTGGCCGTCACTCATCTGTTTGTATTTCCTTGTTTCTTCCTGTCAGGAAACCTGCTGTACGTTCAGTACGTCTACTCCCCCGTCGTCAGGATGGTGACCTTCAGGAACGGCTTCGTGGCGTTGTCTCAGCAGGGCTCCGTCATCAGAGAGGTGTTTCGCTGCCCGGACCATGTCAGTCCGGACTACAACCCTCTTAGGAACGTCAAGGCCCAGTACCGGGTCACCTCCAGGGAGAAGACGAACCGAGTGGGCCAGCAGAGCCCCGGGTCCGACCTCCAGGACTACAACCCGGCCCAGTTCAACCTGAACCTCATGAGCATGCTCCGAGCAAAACCATCCTCCTCCACCTGTCTCCTACTTTAGGGACACCGGGGCCCAAACTCCAGGGGCCGTTAGGCTCTAGGGAGAAAATCTATTTTTATTGTCAAGAAATTAATTAATTCAGTTGTGACCAAAATGAATGTACATGTTAACTACACCAATTACACATTAATGTATAAATATACCATAAACATCTTGTTTATAACATGAAACATTTATTAAAACTTCTTTTTAGGTTTCTGGATTCCTCATATACAAAATATGACTAAATATTTAAAAAACAGATTTAAACTATTTAGGCATATTTTGTTAAAAATATGAGTATAGATGGACAGAGGAGAGGTGGACCCAAAACTAACTAGACCTGCTGTCCTCTATGAAGACAACAGGGGTGAGTACTGATTATGAACGACAGCTGTTCAGTTTTACGCTAAGGTTCTTTTGCAAAGTGCTATCCGCTAACCCCGCAGAGTAACACTACACACACTACACACTCAAATTCTGCTCCAACCAATCATTTATAAAAAACTAAAAGTAAAAAAAGAAACAACTATGAACAATGAGGTGTATTAATCTGCTGTAATGGATGTTGATGTTGGCATGTCCAGCTAGCTTGTCTAGTTATAAGCTAGCTAACTAGTTTATAAGCTAGCTAACTAGCTAATAACCTACAGTCAAAACCAAGCTTTCATTCCAAGTCCAAGAGTTAGCATATCATTATCGAAATGAAAGAAAGTCCCCCAGCTCCTTTTGGGAGAGAAAAAACCCCAATAATAAAGTAATTTAGCATTTTTTGATGGATAATTCAACTAAAAAGGTACTCGGACTGATCAGTAGTCATACTAATGCAGTAACGGACAGAGCTCTTTGTAGTAAAGATTGGAAAGGTGATTATTCGGTTCACACATTGTTTTTGGTATTCTAACATTATTATAGAAAGCTTAATGACCAATTTAATTATACTTTTTAATTTGCTACATTATTTAAATGTACATACATAAAGACAACATCTGTATTTCTTGTAGACACTAAAGTGCTTTTGTGAAGCCCTTTTTACACACTTTTCAGCAAAACTGACAATTTCCGGCAAAAAATGACAAGCTGTTTTTGTTTACTTGTCTAGAGAGTTCATAATATAATATTATATATCCTCTGCAGGATCAAGGGGCATTTTAACTCTATATTAAACAACACATGAACTAAAGGCTGTAGATTTTGAAGGCAGCAGTGTAACAGACTGGTGGTCCACCTGAGAGGAAACACAAACATGATTGGGTCATAAACACAGAGCAGATAAAAGCTTTTCCCGGGAGTCAGAGTCTGTATTGTGAGTTTGAGTTAAACATTAACGGGACACCTGCAGCACCGACTTACACACTCTGCTGTTAGTTTCACACTTGGAAGGTGTAACTCGACGTCTGAAGCGGCGGGTTTAATCCTTTCTGTGATTCTTTACGTTTTTGTTTCTTTTCTTCCATCAGAGCGGAGAAGCAGCGATGGGGAAACTCTGCGCAGTGATTTCCTGTTTGCTGCTGAGTGTGGGAGCGGTGACGTCCCAGGGAGGTACGAGCTGTTCCTACTGTACTCACAATTACTATGGAGACACGGCTATACCAGTTATGTTAGTCATAGTAGTGCTCAAACAGTTAATTAATACTATGAAATGTGTTAGTGTTTGAGATGCGAACTGTTTCTATTACCCATGTCTCTATAAAATGTCAGAAATCATAATTATAATTTCTCCATCTCATCAGGAGCTAAAACCAGAAATTGTTTAGATTTATTTGTAGAAAAATCAATAAAACAATGAATTGATGATGAAAATAGAAGCTGTTTGCTGTCGATCAAGTAAACCATCAACCAAATGATTGTTTCAGCTCAAATAGTACAGATTAGTCATTTAAAACACTCTTCGGTTCCAGTTTTGTGACTTTGCTCTGCTTCATATCAGTCGAAAGTGAATCTCTCACAATAAACATGTTTTAACTTCTTTTGGATTCATTGAAAAAGTAATCATTGATAAGGATAATAAGTATACAAGGAAGCAAATTTGAATTCCTGTTAATATGATTGGGGTCATATAAAGGAGACACACCTTGTGAAACGTGTTTCAGCTCTTACTGAGTCCTACATTTACTTTAAATGAGTATTTCTATTTCATGCTACTTCTACTTCACTACATGTCAGAGGAAAACTTTTTACTTCCCTTTTAGTATTGGGGTCACAGAAACGCGTCCCTTAAAGCAGCCGTTTAATTAAAACAAGAGTTTGGAGTTTGAATGACCTCTGACCTCTGTGTATGTGTTGCAGCTCAGACTCAGATGAGTGAGCGTCTGGTGCCTCAGTGGCTCACCGGGCTCATCGCCGTTACCGGCTTCCTCTTCCTCGCCTTTGTCGGCGTCCTAGTGAAGAAGGCCTGGTGTGAGGAGCCAAGCAGGTCAGGCAACTTTATATATATATATATATATATATGTATATATACATATATTTATTTTCATTTCATTTTAACTCATTTTGACAGAGTAGTGACTAGAGTGATTACACACAAACTGCAGGCTTCCTTTTGTTGAAATATACTTGACTTGTTTTAATATAAATTATATAATCCTCAATTGATGAACAATAAACCACTATTTAAAAAAATTGTTCACTTGGTTTTGCTGCTTTGTTAGTAACAGTTTGTAAGCCTGATTTTAAAAACTTCTCTAAAACTAAAAATGAGTAATTAGTACAATACTTACAATAATTTACATATATTCCTTTAGAAAGTCAATTAACCAATCATTTATTTAAAAATATTTTTTTATTGGGCATTTTATGCTTTTATTTGACAGTGACAGTGTAGAGAGATGTGTGGAAAGAGGGTAGAGGAATGATGGTGGTACCGGCGGTCCTTGTGTGTGGAGTTTGCACGTTCTCCCCGTGGCAGCGTGGGTTCCCTCCGGGATCTCCGGCTTCCTCCCACAGTCCAAAGACATTCAGTTTAGGATATTTGGAGACTCAAAATTGCCCGTAGGTGTGAACGTTTGTCTGTAGGCACATATAGATAAACGCGATAACCTGGCGACCTGTCCAGGGTGTACCCTGCCTTCGGGGAATGGAATGGTTTTTGGTGTCAAGTGTAAATGTTTCAGTTTTTGTTACTTTCTGATACTTTATAGACAAAACTAAATATATGTTAAATAATAAAGTCTAAATAAAGTGTATCTGTCTGCAGGAAGAAGACGTCTGTGGAGTTGGTGGGAGATAATGAATTTGTCAACGAAAACACCTGCGAGACCAGTCTGGACATGGTCAGGTAGGAAAACCACACTAAATACAACTAAATACTTTATATTAATTGTTCCCCCTCCCTCTCCTTGTCTCTCTAGCTCTCTCTCAAGCTAAATAAACATGTTAAAAAGCCTCTTGGATCAGCTGGAAAATGCATCGTCACAAAGCTGAAAACAGCTGTTTCTCTCTCTAGAGATACGAGGTTCTCACAGGACAGCGACGCCACAAACATATGATGAATTGATAGAATATGATGCATTGCTGTAGATTAAACCGGCCAACAGGATATAAAGGAGTTGCAATTCAACCCACTCGTTAATGCAGCAGTAATATGAATCCAGAAACATCAGATATAATAAACAGTGAACACTGAGAGGGAACATTTTTACTGCACAATCAATACTTTTCTCATGTTAGGTATATTATTTTGTTGATAATACTTGTTGCTTAAGTGCGGTTTTGAATGCAGGACTTTTGCTTGTTGTGGAGTATTTTCAGCGTGGTATTTAGTACTTTAAGTAAAGGATCTCAGTACTTCTTCCAACACTGATAAATAAGTTTTAACAACACAATGTTTGTCCATCAGGAGCAAAGAAGACATGAACACTTACGACAACCTGGTGATCAACGGCACTGAAGAAAAAGTTTCCGCCATGTGACCGTCCCGCAATGATCCTATTGGCTGTCTGAACATTGTCCTCACTAACTCTGGACGGAGACACATGAAACACACTTCTTTGTATAGAAATGGTGTCTTTGTTTTGTCGTACCTTTTGTCCCCGGCGGGTGGAGCTGAGAGTCAGATATTTTTTTGTTTTGTTTTCTTGTTTATTCAAATTCTATCATTTAGTAGAAAGTGTGAGATTATATGAATAATGAATCATATTTATTGGATCGGAGGCTTAAACTAGATCTATATATTAGGTTCTGTGTTTGCATGTTTTTCAGTCACCTCTTGAGATTCACAGCAGTAAACCAGGAAAAGCAGCATCTGTCCTGTGATCCTGATTAATAGGTTATCTTTCCAAACCAGCTGCTGTGTGGGCTCTCATTACTGATCAATGAAAGTATGTCCTGTGATTAATAATTAAACACCGAGTAAAGTCTCATTTTACAAAAAACAGTTAGTTCAAGTGTTTGTAGTTCACAGTCTGTGGTTAGTTCACATGTCTGTAATCACAGCAGGACAGTGGAGTGTCTGTGGTTAGTTCACATGTCTGTAATCACAGCGGGACAGTGGAGTGTCTGTGGTTAGTTCACATGTCTGTAATCACAGTGGGACAGTKGAGTGTCTGTCGTTAGTTCAAGTGTCTGTAATCACAGCGGGACAGTGGGGTGTCTCTGGTTAGTTCAAGTGTCTGTAATCACAGCGGGACAGTGGGGTGTCTCTGGTTAGTTCAAGTGTCTGTAATCACAGCGGGACAGTGGAGTGTCTGTGGTTAGTTCACATGTCTGTAATCACAGCGGGACAATCCTCGCCTTCGTTCCTGGAGAGTTTAACCACCAGAAACCTGTAGGTGACACCACAGACTGTGTTCTCTCACACCTGTACTGGACCACACACACCTGAAGAAAGCACAGACTATAATTAATTTACAAGAGACTCTAGCAACGTTTATTGTGCTCTCTTTACATTTTAATAAAACAGAACAAATCAAACAGAGTGGACATCAGAACAGACAGAAAGATCATTCACAACATTTTCCACACCAGCTGTCAGAGTCACATCAGAGCCAACAGAGAGCCTCTTTGGATCAATATCGATAAAATGGGAACTCAGATCAGTTTGGAGACGTCAGGTGATGGACTGATGGGTCTGGAGAGGCTGAGCTGCAGGTTTTTTTGAGCAGCTTAATACTCTTCTGTAGTTTTAATACTTACAAGTGTCTGATTTACAACTGCTATTTCTGCTCTTTCCTCAAAAATGTAATCTCTGAACTAAAAGTACCATCAGAGCCTGACTAGTATATTATTATATATGATCTTCTCCCAGATCTCTCGGTATCAGTTTTCATAAAAGGAACGAGAGAATAGCAGATTTGATTGATGGATGTTTGCTGCGTTTGATGTCTTTAAAGGGAAGTTAGCATCGCGGCTCGCTGCACTGAACAACATGACGAAAGGTGTGTTTGTTATCACACCGTCCTGCATCGCTTTCCCCAAGAACTCAAACATGGTCGTCACTGAGTAACTTAAGACGCCTCGCTGAGACAGAATGAACATTACAGGAGGCGGGAAATGCAAGCGTCACTGTAATTTAACTGATCTATGTAGGGCATGGTGACCATGGTAACCATGGTGAAACGACAGGACATGGCCTGTAACAGACATGGACGCTCAGCAGGACAAAGACAACAGAGAAAGACGAAAGCCTCCAGAGGGGGCGGGTGCAGAAGGGGAGGCAAATATACTGTAAGAGATCGCACTCCTTCTCAGAGTCATAACATGAAACACAAATTATATCATTCAAATTATATCATTCAGTGCGATTTACACTTCCACAGGATATCATTATCTCCAATGTCCATTCAGAACAAATCTCCATGACTCCACTTAGAAATTCACAGAAATAAAGACGCTGCAGAACTTGCCTGAGAATCATCATGTTTTTAAGTTTTCTACAGTATGAAAGCAATCCAGTGATCTGTCTGTACATCCATGTGCACTGCAACAGGAGCTGCTAATAGCTAATTCAGCTTTCTATGGCGCCAACTGGACTAAATGTCAACAGATTTAGGCAACAAAAAAATAGTTACATTGTCTATAGATAAAAACAATGGAACTTCTTCAGCCTGGGGCACATGAAATAATCCCTCCCACTTTTCAACCCTATGTCCTGTGTTGTAATCATTTTAGCAGTTGTATTTCACAGGAATTCTCCTTCAAAGAGCGGCTCACACTATTAATTATTCATCTATTGTGCTCTGACTAAGAGATCCCTCTAGTTTCTCTATAAATAGTACGAAATAACATATTTCTTTCCAGGAAACTTGTGAGGAAATGATGAAGAAATGATGCAAAATAAAGTGCAACCTCAGCTGGTTTTTGGCAGCGACTCTGAACGAGTCCTGTGTGAAGGCGAAACCAAAGCTGCAGGGTTTCCGTCGACGTTTCTGACTGTTTGGACAAAGATTCAGACACTGGCATAAACATATCGTTGCTCATAATAATAAAAACAAAAACAAATAATACATTGTTAATTTCCAGTGAGATCAGAAAAATAAATTACATTTCATCGACTCTGACATCTTCAAATAAAAGTACCAAAAATTAAGACAGTGATTATGACAAAAACATAAAGTAACATAAAGTATTTACACTTGATTGATATGTTTAAAGTACAGGATCCTGCAGGACGCCTACAGCGGCTGCTAAATACCTCCGTTACACATCTAAATATCTGAAAGGATTAACAAACTGTGGTATCATACTAGACTTTAGCATAACTCTGCAAACACACAACTAACTTCACGTTGTAGAATTGAAGATTGAAAGCAACAGTCTGACATGTTGGTAAATCCTCTTGTTCTCCCTATAACTAAGGCTGTTCCATTGAGGTTAGCTATCGACATTTTTAGGTTACAAAAGCTATAAATTCATACAACTCATGAGTTTAAATTTAGAGATGGGAGAAACTTTGTCAGTTTTTGTGTGTTAGCTAATGTTAGCAGTTGTTAGCGAATGCCAGTTTGTCATTTCAACCAGGAAGAGACGGCTACAGCGCTCGCTAAAAGTGAGGTTTTTGGCTAAAAATAAGGTTTCAGCAGCTGTACACGAGTTCAAACTTAGCTTTGTGCTAACGCTCATGTTTACTGAGTGGAGTTTATTACTAAATTAAAACAGGTTGCAGCTCACAAACTAGTTGGTACTAAATATTTACAGCCACAAACTGCCAGGTGTAACGGTTGTTTAGCTAGTTGACAATGCTAATGCTAACATGCTAACATCTTAATTGTTTTTACGGGAGCATATGTTCCCGAGGTCCTTGGTCAAATGTTTCCCTGGGTCAGCGACGTTCAAACCACCCACCGGTAGCTTAAGCCATTTTTCAACCCTTTAATCCATGCAGAAAACCCATTAAAACCCTTTAATTGACACTAATCTGCGGTCAACCCTATAACATTTTCCATGTCACAAAGTCACTCTTAATTTAACCATTTAATGCTATTTCAACAACAATTCAAAAAAACAAATTCAACGTGTAAATGGGATTGTTTTGGAGTGGTTTGAGGGTGGATATTTCCCCCCCCCCCCCGTATACAGTATTTGTGCTAAGCTAGGCTAACCACGGCCTGGACCTACAGAGATGGAACTGATATCTGAAATTTATGAACAATAGTTTTACTAAATGTCAGTCTGTTGCTTTTATTCACGCCTGCTTCTAGAAAGCTTTTTATAATTTAAATCTCCACAGAGACACATTTTTATAATTTTCTCTCCATGATTAAAATCATGTGGAAGACACTGTATCTGTTGCCGGGGGCGACAGGGGGTCTCCAAGCCCTGAGAGTCATCTCCATGGAGACACATTTATATTATCTTTTCCTTTAAGGGTCAATATGGATTCATTACTGGAACAAAAATGTGTGCGTACAAGGAATGTGGAAGGTTTGTGTTGATGATAGCTAACGTTAACTAAATGGGAAACTAACAGACTTCTCTGATTTAACGGTTTGTGTACATCGTGTAAATAGAGGAAAACTAGTGTCTCTATTATGAAGGAACCGTTTAACATGGTCTGTTACAGATTAAGAGTTTTGATTAAGGTTCATTGTTTTCTGAATTGAAATTAAATTTTCCATTTGTTTGACAAAATCCAACGGTTACTGCCATATTTGAAAAAAATAAGTTCCTTCTTGATGACTAGCTTCTTATCTATAACAGCTGTTTCTGCAATAGTTTGTTTGTTCTGATGGAGAATAAAACAACCAGACGTTGATCACGATCAGTCGTGTTACAGTTTACACACTCTCCTCCCCGCTGGTTTCCACATTTATAATGAAGTGCTACTCGGTGTCTAGCAGCTAACCAGTCTTTTACCACCGAGGAGATGCTAAGCTAACGTGTGCAGCGGGGTCAGAGAACACGTCATTTCACCAACACGTCCCTTTTGTTCCTCTGAATTACAAACAAGAACACAAACCCACCTGTTGTCTGTGTGTCTGAATGCATTAACTAGTGCAATAAAGTCACTCCGTCATGACTCCATATTGATAGTTATTTGTTTTTAGACAATATTCTCATTTAATAGTCTAGTTACAGAGTTTCTCAACCTTTTCTGGCTTGTGACCGTGTTTAAGTGTCCGACTTCTCTTAAAGCCAAGATCCTCATGCTCAGACTTCAACAAATATCAATACATTAGATGTTTCTCATGACCACATGTACGTATCACGTGACCCCACCTGTGGCCCCACACCGAGGTTGAGAAACTATATTTCAGGTATTCAAGTGGTCATGCACTGGTATCAGACATCAGCGTGTACTGGTTTCACCCCACAGGAAGTGTGTGTGTGTGTGTGTGTGTGTGTGTGTGTGTTGGCACTGTCTGAAGTAGTTTCTTTTTTCTTTTTTGCACGTTGGAAAGTTCAGAGTTCACGATCCACTATGATTTATTGTCCAAGAGTCAGAGTGTGTGAAGGAAGTCGAAATAGCATCTGTTTTCATATGCATGTGTGTATGCATGCAAGCGTGTGCGTGTGTATGTGTGTGTGTTATGACAGGACGTCCAGTGCGACAGTGCCTCTCTGTTTCTTCAGGACGGCGACCGCCTGCTCGTGTGTCGCTCCCTGCAGACTCTCTCCGTTCACCAACAGGATCTGGTCACCCCGCTTCAGACGGCCATCCACCGCCGCTGCGCCCTGAAACACACAGCAGCACCAAGCTGAATCCCTTCTCAAAACTCTTCAGGTTGGCTATCAACATTCAGAAGTATGAACAGTCATTGATTAATAAAACTCAGAGATTAAATTAAGACAAGGGAGAAAGTCAGTTTTGAGAGCGATTTTAAGTTTCCCATTTAACCCAGCGAAAAAAGACGGCTAAAATGCTAGCTAACAATTAGAGTGCAGCACCTGTTCATAAGTTATTAATTAAATTAGCCTCCCTCATTTTAATGGAAGTGTTTAGTAAGTGGAGTTCATCACTATATTATAGTGATATTATAATATAACAGGTTACACCTCACAAACACAGAACTACCTTCACGTTGTAAAATGTAAGATTCACAGCAATGCTTACTCCTGTTCTCCATCTAAACTAAGGCTGGAGATAGTTAGCATTTTATCAAAAGCGCTCATCCAACTTACTGATTAATACAACTCAGGGATTCAACCGAGACCTGTAATCACCTTTTGTAGGATGAGAGAAGAGACAAACTGCAGATTTAAAGTCAGTCATTTCTATCAGCAAGAGGCGCTTTAAGAGCCAAAGCTAGCTCAAAATAAGGAACCAGGAGTTGATGCAGCATCTGTTCCTAAGTTGAAATGTAGTCCTTGTTTACTAACTTTAGTTTTATCACTAAATTAAAATTGGTTGCAGCTCACAAACTAGTTCTTACATAGAGATACGTCATTGTTGTATTAACAGCCACTAACTGCAAGGTGTAACCTTTGTCTAGCTAACTGACAAAGCTAACATTAGCATGCTAATATCTGGCCCGTTTAGAAGTACGGTCCGACCTGAAACTTGATAAATGTTTTTGTTTAATATTCACGTCAATCTGGAAGATTTTTAACATTTCACAAACTCACAAAATTAAAATGATGCAACATTATGCTAATAACATTTGACTAAATTCAACAGTCAGTTAGCTTAGCATTATCAGGTATTCCCCTCTCAATATAAACTGTATATGAACACTACTAACTCTGAAACACAGATATGAGTCTAAATGGACTTTCTTTGAGAGGGAGATATTCAGACCTGTTTAGCCTAGCTTAGCATAAAGACTGCAAGCAAATGGAAACAGCTGGCCTGGTTCTGACCTTGCTAAAGACGGTCTTGACGTAGATGGGCAGGTCTCCATGTGGACTGCCGAATCCTCCGACGATGCTGAAGCCGAGTCCCTCAGAGCCTTTCTCCAGACTGATGCTGCGGGGCCGCGGACCCCTGAAAAAGAGGAGAAAGAAGCGGGTCAGATTCAGTTAAGCACCACTTGTCGTAAGTGTGTGTTTGTGTGTGTACTCACTCTGGCTCTGCTGTGTGTGTGTCAGTGTTAGCCGACAGACTGGAGCTGCTGGACAAACTCTCTACCTGAGTGGCGATGGCGCTGATGTTGGTGTCTGCTACCACCTGAGAGAGAGAGAGAGAGAGAGAGAGAGAGAGACACAGACAGACAGACAGACAGACAGACACACAGACACACACACACACACACGAAAAGAGAGTGTGTCAGTTGCTTTGACTTAATTGAATTGATTTAATCTAAAGGGGCACTCAACTGAATATTATGCTGCACACAGCATGTAGCTGCACTCACGGCTTGAATATCCACATAAAATGATTCAGGAGCATCTGTTCTCCAGCAGACGCATTGATAATATAATATAACAATGCATACTGAAAAGTATGTTTGAACTAAAACTCAGGATATCTCCACCTCTGCTGCTCAGATTTGGACCGTTCTGTTTTTAATCCGTCTCTCATAAATCTAACTACTTTGTGAAAATAACAGTAAATTACTGGACTAAAAAGACACATATACAATTCACCACCATAGAAAAAACAGAAACAATACAATGTCTAAGAATTCAGAGTACTAAACATTCATACGAATAACTCAAAGTAGTCAACTACGTACAAACGAGAGACGGAAAACAAACACAAAGAACAACAAAAAGAAAATGACACATCAATGCCAATCATTTAAACACTTATCTCTGGAGGATGCACTTATTTTAAGAATCAGATTGTTATAATTTATACATCATGAAACCTTTAAATAATAACAACCCTTGAAGCGACTTAAGCTGTTTTAAATCTGTCTCTCACAACAACAACTACTATATGGAAGTGAAATACTAAATTACTGAGGTGAAATACTTTACTGACTAACTCACAGAACTCACAAAACTAAAGCAGAGAGCCAGTTAAAACACCTGACTGTATAACAGACAGAACCAGCTGCCTCAGAGCCTTTGGGCAAACAGCCAAATATGAACTCTCTTATCGGAGTCTCTCTGCTGCAGGCTGATGAAGCTTCATTAGTCCTGCCTGATGCTGCTGCTATCACACTCCCAGCATGCAACAGTCAGCCTGCTGCGCCACACTGATAAAATATACAAACAGCGCGCACGCACGCTCGAGGTGGAGCTAGTTTTTTCTATTTTACATACAGTTAGCTAGTTTAGTCCAGTGGTTCCCAACCTAGGGGTCGGGCCCCTCCAAAGGCTCACCAGATAAATCTGAGGGGTCGTGAGAGGATTAATGGGGGAGGAAAGAACTGAAAAACAAGTTGTGATACAGAAGCTGTATCATGAAACTAAACCGTTTCACTTTTACAAAAGCTAAAAATATATCCTTAACAATTTATTGTATTTTAAAAGCTTGTCATGTGTGTTTTATGAAAAGAGGATAACATATAATTAATCAAGTAAAGTACAATTTGTACAAGATCAGTACTTAATTTACACCACTAAAAAGGAGTCCAGGTGACTTCATACTACCCACAGACCCACACAGTTAATGCCTACGGTGTATCATCATTAGAAAAAAGCACAAACTAGAATTACCGCCTTCGAGGTTGTATGCCTCCACCAACCAGCCACTTTACATCCATGTCTGTCCAAAATGTGATCACTTCATCATTTTAACCTATTAGACATTTGTATGAAATTGTCATAATTAGCATTTCATTTCCAAGTTTCCATAAAACCTTTGACAATACAGCGTACTCCAAGTTCAAACTTGCGACGGGGTTTCAACATCTGACGGGTCGCAGAATAAAGGTGCAACACCGGCAGTGTTACCTGCAGGCTGATGTTTCCGTAGCTGTTCTTCAGCATGGCGACGACGTCGCTGTGTGACAGACCGTCCACGGACTGACTGTTGATACTGACGATCCTGTCGCCCACCTGAACACACACACACACAGACCTGCTTTATTCACTTGTGGTGGTTGTTATTGTGTGTCATGTAATCCCATGTAGGCTGCACCATTTTAACAGTAAGACAATGATAAAACACACAACCAAACGTCAGTCTACCTTGAGCTGGTGTGTCTTGGCCGCGACCCCGTTGGCCTGAATCATAGCGATGAAGATGGGGATGTCACCCAGCGGGCTGCCCTTCCCCCCCGCTATACTCACCCCGAGGGAGTCGCTGACACTCTGAGGGGGGAGAGAGGGAAGACTTGCTTCAGGTGAAGCCTGAGAGAAAAGGATGCCTTATGATTTCCACATTTTTGTATGCGTCTGTAGAGCACAAACACCGCATCCTACAATATTGGTTGACCATTTTTGAGACAGCCGATGCTCTGGCTGTCACATAATCTGATGGGTCACAGAATAAGGTGCAACACCGGCAGTTCCTGAGGAAGCTCATCAGGGGTCAGTCCGGACATCGTGTTATTGTTCTACAACTGCTGCAGAACTTTTTCCATGATGTGTTGGTACCAATCACTAACTATCCAGAAACAATGTCTTCACAGAACACTGTCATTATAGATCACGAGTCCCTCTCTCAGGTTTCATGAAAATCCTTCACAACACACAAACCTCATTCCAGGACCGAACTCACCACCCCAATGCCTTCCTCTGACAGTGGACCTTTTCCTTTTTTATACTTTCAATTTTTTATATTTTATTTGTTGTATGTGAGCGGTATGTGCACTACTTGTGTAATACTTTTTTATTTACCCTTGTGATCTCCACTGTACGGACACCAGCATCTACCCCTACTGACAAACAAAGGAGAAACAACAGCGATCAACATTTAACGAGTCCAAAATTAAAACTGTGCAATCAATATACAAGTATACAATATATCACGTCATTATAGTCTGCAACAAGATTTTCATGGGCACTTTAAATGAATTTTGGTAAAGCCAACTCCTAATGTATAACTTCAAAGCAACAATTTTTTTTATTGTAGGTTGAGATGAATAGATGACTTAATGCTTAATGTTTTAGCTTACCCCTTAGACCATGCAGAAAACCCATTTGAACCCCTAATGAAATCCATTAATATCAAATAATGATACTTAAAATAGTTTTAAAATATCTTATTGCCATAAATGTAAATCTTCACATGGCCTCAACTGACATTAAATTCCCCTTTTAAAACCCATTAAAACTGAATATATTAGAAATCATTAATTATCTGGAGTCAACCCCTTTAACAAGTAAAGCTATCCCTAAATATGAACAATAACTGAGGACTTAAGGTATTTAAAGCACAAATTCAAGGGGGATTGTCATTTAAATCTTTACATTAAAGGCCCTTCATTTATCAATTATGGTGATGATTCAGGATTTAATGCAGGTTCCTTGGACCCTGGTCCAGTGCTAATATCACTTTTATTATTACTCATATTACTATTTTATATTACCGATACCATTAATGCACATTATTGACTTTGCTTCTTCACCAGGGTCTCTGTGCTTTCTCGCCTCGCAGGTTCCCGTGGATCCTGGTGATACCTGGACCTGGTCTTGCCTCCTGCCGTGGTTCTGTCATATACATTGAATAACTCTGTACAGTAACTCTGTAATGCTGTTCATTCTGTACACATGACATCTATTGCACTTCTGTCCATCCTGGGAGAGGGATCCCTCCTCTGTTGCTCTCCCACAGGTTTCTCCCTCTTTTCTCCCCGTTAAAGGTTTTCCTGTTCCGATGTGAGGGTTCCGGGACAGAGGATGTCGCATGTGTACAGATTATAAAGCCCTCTGAGGCAAATTTGTAATTTGTGATTTTGGGCTATACAAAAATAAATTGAATTGAAAAATTGAATTGAATGCTACTTGGTAAATTTTGGTGCAGTTCATTATGAGCTCAAACATGCAGGAAGTTGTTTCATGCTTCCTCTACCTGTGCTGTCAGAGCAGGAAGTGATGTCACGGGTGGACTTTGTGCTGTTGTTAAACGGCAAGGGCCCAGTGGAGGTCGACGTGGGGAGGTCAGGGGTCATGGGGTCACATGACGTTGAGGTGTTGGTAAGGGGCGGAGCCGCTACACCTGAGCTGTTCCCACTCACATGACTCATCTGGGACAAAGAGAGAGTTTCTATGCAAACATGGTACCTTGTTTCTTTCACTGGCTGTTTACAAATCAACTGTTTGAGTAAATACATTTTTACTATATTTAAGTACAGAATCCTCGACCCAAAAACCAAGTCTGGCACCTGAAACTAAAACTGGTTCTCACAAAGATAGAGCAACACTACAAGAACACACACCTGACTTCCTTGCGAGTTGCGTCTACAGGAGATCCAGGATGCAGCTTTGAGTCGTCCCAGCTCCAACTGGACCGGACCTCGAGCACACTGCGGGACAAACACACGCACATACGCATTATGGATCCTATACATGCTTTATTTCCACTTTTGTGTACAAATACACAATTATACCCACAAAAGGCAGTATCAGAATGTGACGCAAGGCCCTGTTCAGACCTGGCATTAACGTGCATCTTCGGTGATCCGATTACAAGTGGACAGCTCTGTGAATGCACCTGAGACGCACTGAGATCTGATCGCTCAGACCACATTCGGAGGTGGTCTGGGCCGCGTATGGCCACATTCTTTTAGCGGTGTGTACGCGAATGTGTCATAGAAACCAAAAAGAAACCATTTTTATTGTCATATACACATACACGAAATTTGCCTTCTGCATTTGACCCATCCCTGTATATAGGGAGCAGTGGGCTGCCAATGATAGGCGCCCGGGAGCCGGGGGCTCAGTGTCACTACGACACGTGACACGTCCCAGTCGAGGATCGAATCGTTGACCCTGTGGTTACCAGACAACCCTCTTAACCCAGTGAGCCACAGCCGTCCCCGTAGACTGTACATAAGAAAGGGACGCAGTCACCCACTGGTTTGTGGACTGCCGTTTTGAATCCTCGAGTTTGGCCGTCGCCATCTTGGGCAAATTGCAAGCTTCATGTCTTCTTCACTCACGCTGAAGGTTTTGTTTTGTATGTCTGTGTCTGTGTGTGTGTGTGTGTGTGTGTGTGTGTGTGTGTGTGTGAATGTGACGTCTGTGAATGTGACGTCTGTACCACGCTGTGTGGCAACATATACGGAAATATGTGCCCGATCAGGCGGTTTTGATGGGCAGCCGATCGATTTCTGCATCTCTAATATGAAACTAACTTTTCCATTTTGAAAAAACGTATAAAGTACACAGGCAAGTATGTGAACAATGTCGGTACTCAGGAGACTGATCACCCATCACAAGATTAGTAACATAATGTGATATCAATACAGAAACACAGGGTCAAAGCCAGGGTTCGTATTACATTATTCGGGAGTAGAGGGGTTGGGAGGTGAGCGGGTACTGTACACATGCACGGACATACATAAACGTGCCCGCCTACATGCAGAAATATACTATAAATTTGATATCATACAGAGAATATTTAGACTGAAACAGAAACAAAAACATTGAATATTCAAAGGTAACACTGATGTGAGAATAACACACACGCTGACACCCTGATTGGTTTAGGTGGTTCAGAGGCGTATTGCATAACAGCAACATGTCCACAGTACGATCCCGACCAGGGAACTGTGTTTCCTGTCTGTCCCTACACTTTCAACGATCAGATAACGGCCAACACACCTAAAGGAAATGTTAACAAGAAAACAAGAAATCAAAATGTGCGTGTGTTTACCTTCAGAATGGCGGCGACAGTTTCCTGGGAGGCGTGTCTCATGTCGTCTCCGTTGACCGACAGTATCTGATCTCCCTGCATCAGACGACCGTCCAGCTCAGCAGCGCCCCCTCTGACCACCTCGGAGATAAACACACCGCTGCCACTCCTGACACACACACACACACACACACACACACACCGACAGTGGTAGAAGAAATATACAGATCTTTTAGTAGTAGTTAAAGCAGTAAAAATACTCAGTTACAAGTAAAAGTTCTGCATTTAACATTTTTACTTAAAGGAACAGTGCGCAGAATTAGCAGCGATTATCAGAAAGTTTACATAATATTCACAAATATGTTTTCATTAGTGTATAATCCTATCCTTCATATCTACATAGGCAGCTGGTCCTCCATGTTGCACCGCCATGTTTCTACGGTAGCCCAGAACGGACAAACCAAACACTGGCTCTGTAAGGGGTGAGCAGGAGGGTATTCAGATGGTTGCATTCTGCAACCTCACCACTAGATGGTGTTAACTCTTACACACTGGTCTTTTAAGTAAAAGTATCAGCATCAAAATATACTAAAAGTAATAAAAAAGGTGAAGGTGGAGCTCATTTAATTACTTTGTATCCTGGTGGGAAGCTAATCTAGAATAAAACATCATAATCTATTAGTTGATTATATTTTGGGCTCATAATCTGAATCTGTTGAGAATAAAAGTTAATAAATAATTGAAGTGAAGTAAAACGTAACAATATTTCTCTCCGAGATGTAGTGGAGTAGAAGTATAACGTAGAATAAAGGAATACAATTAAGGAAATAGTCATATAAAGTTGTACTTGAGTAAATGTACTTTTACATGATTTGAACCAAGAGCAGTAGTAACACACACAAAGTGTTGTGGATCGGTGTGTGTGTGTGTGTTTTTTAAGGTAGACCTCTTCCCGACGATGCTGAGTCCCAGCCCTCTGCCGCTCCTCTTCTGCAGCTCCAACTTGAGGAGGTCCAGGTTCTCCTCATCTCTGTACTGAGCCTCGTCCCTCAGCACCGTCAGACGAACCTTCGCCGGCGTGTGACGCAGGGCGGCGATGGCCTCCTCGTGGAACGCCCCACGCAGGTCCACCCCGTTCACCTGGACACGCAGGAAGAATTTAATCTCATATCTCTATCTTCGACCTGATGCGGTAAATGCATCGAAACATACTTTTCATTTCCTCACATCTGGACTGCTGTAATGGTCTCCTGATTCTCTTACATCAACTTTATATTCATATATATATTCAAATAAATCAGGATTTTATTTTTTCATGTCCACCACAATGGACTTTTCAACTGAGACAGTGTTTTTTTACAAAAATGTTTTTCAAAAACAACAAAATGTATTAAATCAGGTTTACACACACAAGGTGGGAGAAAATTAAATAAAAGAGTACTGCAAGTTAAACTCGATTGAATTACTTTATATACTGCTGGGTAGTTTAATCTATAATAATACATCAGAAATTGTTGTAATAGTAGTGAAATAACAATGCAATATTTCCCTCTGAGATGTATTGGAGTAGAAGTATAGAGTAGCATAAAATGGAATACTCAAGTAAAGTACAAGTACCTCAAAATGGTACTTAGTTACAGTACTTGAGTAAATCAGTTTTTATTCAGCAGGGGGAGACATTGTTTACATTTATCAGCCTGTGATTTCATTTCTTGATATTATAGCAGAAACATCATTCTTTTATAATACATAATACTGCAGTTTTAGTACCAGTAGTACTAGCAATGCTAACAGTAACATCACTAAAAACAGCAGCAAAAGCAGCATTACTAACAATAGTACCAGGAATAGTACAAAGTTCGCCCTATTTACTACTGAGCATGACTTAAACAGTAAAAACTGCATGTTTTATATGCAGCTGTGAACTAATGAATACAGTACTTTTGCTGCAGAATTAGCAATATAAGTAGAAGTTGTAGTATTGGCAACAGTACTAGTTACAACAATAACATGACTAATACTAGTATTAGCAGTGACAGAGTTGACAGTAATACTTTGTGGAGGTAAAGAAACTAAAACAGGGCATGAAGACAAAATAACATTCACACAATCAAAACAGACAACTCAGGAGTATTGGCAGTACTACCAGTACTGTAGTACTCTGTGAGTAGTACCTCGAGTATCTGGTCTCCTGCCCACAGTCGTCCGTCTCTGGCTGCAGCTCCTTCCTCATAAACCTCATGGATCACTATGGCGTCCTGGCGGAGACACAGTGAGACACAATCAGAGAGAGATTTTTTAGATTAATCCGCCACTGAAAATAGTCCCCAACAAATGCACTATTTACTCCTGTTTGTCAGATTAAAAACTACAGTGACCAGAAACTGACTGAGTCTTGTTTATGAAACATTAAACTATAAAAGATTTACGTCTTCAGTGGGAACCAATATCACTACTGACAGACGGACTGACACTTTGTCAGTGTGGGTCTAAACATGGGAGTTGTTGACGAGAGAAATACCCAGAATAACACCAGACTGATCCTTTAAAAAACAAAACAAGAGAGGACTTCGTGCAATCAATGAGATCCTCTCTCTCGTGATACTGATGCACCACCACTTGTCTTCAACAAACAATTGAAACGTGAACTTTACATTTGCTTTTTTTAAAAGTTTGATGTAGAACTTGAACAGGAGGACAGTGTGGAGAATTGTCGGTTATTATTATATACATATTAAAGAATAAAGAGGATGGAGGAAAAAAAACGAAAGAAGAAAATACTGAGAAGTGAGTAAAGTATGTAAGTCTGTTACCAGCTGTGTGTCTCTTCCTCCCACTATGCTCAGTCCGAGCCCTGATCGACCTTTACAGATCTCCAACAGCATCTCCTGACCAGGAACCACCGCACAGCATGATGGGTCTGAGGAGGAGGAGGAGGAGGAGGAGGAAGAGGAAGAGGAAGAGGAGGAAAGGAAGACTTAACTCTTCTAACAAATGTACGAGATTTTCTACCATATTCTTCTGTTTTTCACTGCTGAGGCACAATGATTGGACTTTTGTATACATGCGTGTACATATATATGTACATGTCACTTTTTCCTCTTGGCTGCTCTGGTTTTTTTTTTTTGCATTAATTAGTTGTCACGGTAACAAATCAATTAACAGCACCTCATAATATTCGCTGCAGTGTCGACTGTTAGCTGATGTCAGTTCACTGAGTGGATCTGAAAACTTTTCCTTTTGTTCCTCTGAAGACGAGCCGATATGAAGAGAGCTAACGAGCAGTCGGTTTCCATTTTAAGGACTTCATCTACTGATTGTTGTGCGTCCAGGGTTTGGTTAGCCTAGCTTAGCACAAAGACTGGCAGCAGAGGGAAACTATTAGCTTAAGACCTCCCAACAAGTCCAAAGCTCCATTAAAGAGTTGTTGATTTCATGCAGTGATTAAGAGTCTGGTACAGATAGATTTAACATTTGATGCAATTAAATTCAATATCAGATCTGAAGATGAGAGACAGATGTGTGTGTGTGTGTGTGTGTACCTCTGTTGGCGGCTTGCAGGTCGGGGCTTATCAGAGGAGATGCTGTCTGTTTACTGGAACTGCTTGAAGCTGTGCAGGACTACACACACACACACACGCACGCACGCACGCACGCACGCACGCACGCACGCACGCACGCACGCACGCACACACACACACACACACACACACACACACACACACACACACACACACACACACACACACACACACAGAGATGAGAGTAAATGTATTGATCAGCTCAGTAAATCTCATTAATTTCTTCAAGGCTGCTGTACTGAAGTACAATGTTGAGGTGTTTGTACTGTAATACACATTCGGTGACACTTCTACTCCACTACATTTATCTGACAGCTTTACATTTTTAGATCTTACAAAAAAAATCATATGATCAGTTTATAAAATATGACCCATTGTTGTAGATTAAACAACTGAATATTATATTAGGCAGGTATATACTGTATATGTAAGGAGTTTGTTTTTCCCCAGGTGGCTTTACTGCTTTTATTCCAGTAAAGGATCTGAATACTTCTGTCAGTATCTAAATGTACAAATTCAGACAAACTCAGATTTGTCGTCTTCTAAAGTAAATCGTCATCGTGTTGATACCTGCTGCTCCAGCAACGCCTTCGGAGCCTGAAGCTCATTTTCTGAAGTCTCTGCAACTTTCAGCCTCTGCAGCAAAAACAAACAAACACACACGCGCGCGCACTCACACACACACACACACACACACACACACACACACACACACACAAAGTAACTAAGTGCACTAAGTACTGCAATTAAGTATAATTTTGAGTTAGTGGTACTTGAGTATTCCCATTTTCTGCTACTTTATACTTCTTCTCCACTACACAGAAATATTGCACTTTTATTACTGCACAAATGTATTTAAAAATTGTAGTTACTTTGCAACTGAAGATGAAAAAAAGAAAAAATAATTATTTTACATACGTATATATATATATATA